GTATAACACAGAAAGATGGAGTACTCTCTATGTCAATGTGAGAAGAAAAATGGTAGGCAGGTAATTTATATCTACTCAGGAAGGTGGGGTAGGGCTGAGTCATTATCTTGTAGGAGTTTCCAAGGCTGTGACATGCTAATGGAGGCGCTTTCCTGAGGAGGTTCTTTCACATATGGATTGGCTGTTGAAATCCTAATCTTATCTGTAGTGCTGCTGTAAGATGTAGAGAATTTTGTGTTTTTCAGGACAGGAAACCTTGCCCTATTTATTTTTAAACTCTCTTCTTTCCTGTTGAAATTGTGTTTATGTTTATGAATTTCGATGGCTTCCCTGTGTAATCTGACATGGTAATTGGGTGTGTTGTCCAGACTTTCAGTACCTTGGAATAAGATACTGTGTCCTGTTTGAGTTAGGCTATGTTCAACGACTGCTGATTTTTCAGGTTGGCCAAGTCTGCAGTGTCTTTCATGTTCTTTTATTCTTGTCTGGATGCTACGTTGTGTGGTCCCAATGTAAACCTGTCCACAACTGCGGGGTATGCGGTATACTCCTGCAGAAGTGAGGGGGGGTCTCTTCTGTCTTTTGCCAATCGTAGCATCTGTTGTATTTTTCTGGTGGGTCTGAATACTGTTTGTTGGTTGTGGTTTTTCATAAGTTTTTCCATCTGATCAGTGATTCCTTTGATATAGAGCAAAAACACATTTCCTGTGGGAGACTGTTTTTCCGCAGTTTGTTTTACGTTGGTTTAATCGCTCTTCTGATTTCTTGGAATAGCCATTTGCTTGAAGTGCGTGGTTTAGATGATTTAGTTCATTGTTGAGAACGTGCAGTTCATATATCCGTCTTGCACAGTCTACTACTGTTTTGATTATGCCTCTTTTTTGCCAAGGGTGGTGATTGGAGTTTTTGTGTAAATAACGATCCATGTGAGTTGGTTTTCTGTAGACCTTGTGACCTAATTGAAGGTTAGCTTTGCGGATGACCGTGATATCTAGAAATGGGAGTTTACCCTCGGTTTCTTTTTCCGTGGTGAATTGTATGTTCGGGTGGATGTTGTTGTTTTTAGACCACCTTTATGCCAATAAAGGCTAACTTGAACTTGAACTTGATTTCCTCATGAGCAACCTGTAACCCTTGTGGCAATCCCAAGTTTATCTTAGTGTCTATGAGCAGTTGTCCCAGGCTAACTGGATCTCGTTAGGTTGCAGAAGCTAAGCAAGGCCAGCTGTGGTGAGCACTGGGGTGGGAGACTGCCAAGGAAGTCCAGGGTTCCTACACAGAGCCAGGCAATGGCAAAACCTGTTCTTCTCCTGTCTTGAAAATCCCGCGGGGGTCACCCACGGGGGCTGCGACTTGACAGCGCTTTCTACCACCTAGGAACTGTTAGCATCAGAAACATAAAAGAACAATTTAGGTCCCGATGTTTTTATGTGATGTGGTTTAAACAGATTGCTTCTTTAAGCACCCTCTACGCTCACAGTCAGAGTAGTTAAAAAGGGCTTAAAAAAAAAAAGATGAGAAAGACATTGGTCATCTTGAAAAATAGCCACCTTGTGCGGATCTGAGGTGGCCCCATAGGTGGAGTTTTGAACACAGAGACATGGGGGGGGCATATCTTCTTTGTCAGAGCCTTCTTACCCTGAAACAGAAATCTCATTCTCCCAATGAAAGCAGCTATGCCACAAATTTTAAAGGGCTGGGGTTTTTTTTGCAAGATTCTCAAGTGTGGCAAACGGTTGCTCTGACTACAGCCTTGAATGTGATCGCAAGAAGGGGCCTTCAGAATGCTAAATGCACTCATCACAAAGGCAGTGCGAGGCTTTCCACGTTGGGAAATGAAGGCTGTGGTCCTCCTCAGCATGCTTATCAAGGAGAGCAGCCGAGATGATTAAGGGGTTGGAGTACCTCTCCTAGGAGGAATGGCTGAAGAGCCTGGAGCCTTTCTATTTAGGGGGGGGGATTGATAGAGTTTAAAGATATATATATTCCTGGAGCCAAGGCAGTGAAGGGAGAGAATTTTTTCTCCCTCTCCTACAATACTAGAACTTGAGGACAAACAAAAGGAGGCACTCCTTCGCTCAAGGAGTAATTAAAGGAGATTAGACATTGATGGAGGACAGATCAGTGGCTACTGTCCAAGGGAACCAAAGAGAACTGCCATATTTAAAGACAGAAAACCTCTGAATCCCAGTGGTAGAAGCAGGCTGCCAGGCTGCCATCAGCAACCCCTGGGATTTTTATGGGCACAGGGAGAGGCATACCAGTTATCTTGGCATGCTGATGTAACTTCCAACAAAAACTGGGACATGCTGTCGTGGGGCACTCTAGGATTTGCAAAAACTTTGTAGTAAACACCAGAGTGTTTTTGCAAGTCCTGGAGCATCCCATGGCATCACTGCCAGTGAAAACCAGCATACATCCCCCAACTTGGTGCTGTTTGCTCCCATCGGCCTTTCAGATGGTGGCTGGCAACGGTCAGGTTCGTCAAGCCTAGCTAGGAGGCAACACGAGGGAAAGTCCTTGCCTTCTATGTCCTGTGGGTTAGCCCTTTCCAGCAGCTAGATAGCTACTGTGAGAAACAGAATGCTGAACCAGATAGACCACTGGCCTGATGCAGCAGATCCATTGGACTCAGTGAGATTGACTTCTCAGGAAATATTTTAAAGACTGCACTGTAATTTTGGTAGGAAATGCTATAAGATGCCCTGCAGAGACATTTGGTCAATGTTCAGATATGGAGGGCTGGATTAACTCTGTGGGACTTTGTTCCAAGTAAGGCAAGCCTCTTGCTTTGGCAGCCACTTCTTTCCATCAGTGTTTGTCCGCTGCCACTGCTCTAAAGGTAGATGGGAGAAAATGGGAGGGTGAAATAGCATCCTGCCACATTTTGGCATCACTTCCAGCTACATAACCAGAAGTGTCATCACCATGTCAAGGGACACTCTAGATTCATGCCAAACTCTATGGTTTTTAACCATAGAGTTTTAGGTGAGTCCTAAAGCATCCCCGTGATGCAGGGGTATCACTTCCTGTTACACGACTGGAAACAGCATCAGGGCACTGAAGGATATCATTTGAGTAAGTCCCAGCCCCTTCCCTCCCCGACCCTGTCGTTCCAAGTAGATATGTTTAGGACTTGGCTGTAAATGTGTGTATTCAGTGGGAACATCTCTGCAAGGCTGAGATTCAGATGAAAGATTTTTGTCTGTTGAAGAGAAGCGTCTATGAGAATTAGTCAAAAGGACTAAATGCACAAGCTTCCAGGAAGTTTATTTATTTTAAATGTTTATTTATTTAAAATGTTTCTTTATTAATTAGACAGTTGTTATACCCCTTCTCCAGGAAATTTGCCTGAGAAGGCTTACAAAAAACCCAAACATAATAAAAATATAAAGCATTAAAAGCTATGAATTAAAATCCAGAATTAAAAAACAACAGGGATCACCGATCAGCTTAAAATACATTTTAGGTCTAAAAGCACATTATAAAATTTATATTTGAATATTCCCACCTTTCTCCCAAGCATTTCAAGGACCCGAGACAGGTAACAACAATGTAAAGAACAACACAAACAAATCTGGCAAATCAGCCATTAAAGCAACGCATTGAAAAGAAAACTAAAAACAACTCATGCCCCAACCAGTTGGGTTCTTCTGCACAAGCACCTTTGGAATGAATACCTTGAGCTTCCAAAGTCTGGGGTCTGCTTTGTTAAATACAGGAATTAGTCCATTTAAGGTACAAGTCATCCATTTCATTGTGTGTGTATGTGTCTGTGCGTAATGTGCCATCAAGTTGCAACCGACTTACGGTGACCCCAGCAAGGGGTTTTCAAGGCAAGTGATTGAGCAGAGCTGGTCAGCCATGGCCTTCCTATGCAGAGTCTTCCTTGGTGGTCCCCCATCCAAGCCCCAACCCTGCCTAGCTTCTGAAATTTGACAAGATTGGGCTGTAGTATTCCATTCCACATCCCCTTGTTTGTTTAAACAAGTATTTAGTGCACTTTGTGTGTGTGTGTGTTTACTTTTATTATTTGTATGCTACCCTTCATCCAAGAAGTTCATGGCAGCTTCCTTTCCCATTTCACCTAGAGACAGAAGGACTGACCCAAGATCACCCAGTGCACTTCAGACTGAAGTTTTGAATGCAGTCCTGCTCCAGTCCCTACAGCGTACAGCTGTTATCCATAATATAATCAAATGGTCAGAAAGCCAGCGAGGTTTGGTGGGGGAATTCCTGGTTGTTTCTATGATGCCTGCTGAATTCACAGCAGAGGTGAGAATTTAAACAGGGGAATTCTCAGCTCAGGCTCTTAGATCCTGACTGCTGGACGAGCATGGCATAATGGCAGAGCGTTGGAGTAAGATCTGGGAAACCTACGTTCAAATCCCCACTCTGCCATGGAAGTTCACTGGGCCAGACAGTCTCACAGCCTAACCTACCCCACAGGGTGGGTGGTTGTGAAGATAAACATGGAGAGAGGAAGATCGGTGTTGTAAGCCACTTTAGGACCCCTGCTGGGGTAGAAATACTAAAATAAATAAATTATCCTGTGCAAAGTAGCTGCATGTAAGCCATTCTCCTAAGGTCGTGCCCCCCCCCCACCAGGGAGAGAAAGCTGGAGGGGATCGGGCACAGCTGGCTGCCTCTGCTGTTTATGGATTCTTACCTGATCTCTCCTTTAACTAATTTTCCCTTGGGGTTGGGAGGGGGAGGAGCAGGGATAATTAGAAGCTACGGAGATAGGAGATAAGCAGAGATAAACAACAGATGGAGAAAGATGGCCAGAGGCACCGCAATCCCCTGAAGCTTTCTCTGCTTGTCTCAAGGGATACTTATGAATTCTCAGCCATGACAGCCCAACTTGGCAGTGCTCATAGAGTCACCGTTGGGTGTGGTCAAGCCCGTAGCCACTCTCGAAAGGGAAGACCTGGTGACAATCTTTTCCTTTTCAGATTTTACAGGCTTCTCTTTCTTTCTTTCTTTTTTTTCTTTAAAAGGATCATCCATGAAGATGGCTTCTCTGGAGAAGACGTGAAGCAGTACAAGCCTGTGGTCTATAGCAACACCATTCAGTCCCTGGCAGCCATTGTTCGCGCGATGGACACCCTGGGCATTGAGTACGGAGACAAGGAGAGAAGGGTAAGTCAAGGATGCAGGAGATACCAGTGGACAAATACTTTGGAAATGGCTAATTCATAACAGGGTGGGCGGGAGGGTGGGAGACACACTTTAGTTTGTATATCCATATAATATGTGTATCCTGGGATGAGAGAAGAGTATTGCAACACTCCAGACTGTGCAGTTTGAATAAATTGCACAGGCAAGTAAATTATTACATCAGTTGTGTGTGCCATCATTTAATTACCTGCCCACATTTGGACCAATGCCTTGCGTGACAGTGTAGAATAATGTGCTACCTAAGTAAACTATACAAGGTAAGTGTTGTTTTTAAATAGCTTAAAAGCTCAGTGGTCATAGGGAAGTACAGGGTCGGGAAGGAGCCATCCATGTCATTGAATCACATGGTGCAAATCTGAATATTTATTCAATATTAGGAAAAAATATCCCTACCTGTAGAAGACTGGCTTGTTGGGGAAAGGATAAGCTGGGGTATTTTATTTATTTATTTATTAAATTAGACTTGCTAGGCCACCCTTCCCTGTGAGCAGGGCTCAGGGTGGCTTACAGCAAAAAAAAAAAAGCACAATAATACTAAACGTAAAACAGTATTAAAATTCAACAACCACAATAAAACAGTACAATCCCAGATGGAAATAAATTTCTAATACCCGCTTGCCCCCTGGGTTAAGTAAGAGACAGAACAGAGGGAGCGGGCGGGGCGGTGAGAGTGCCAGGCCGTCGCTGTCTACAACCAAATACCTGGCGGAACACCTCTGCCTTGCAAGCCCTATGGAATGGTAACAGATCCCGCAGGGCATGGATGTCCTCAGGCAGAGAGTTCCACCAGGTAGGGGCCAGGGCTGAAAAGGCCCTGGCCCTGGTCGAGGAGAGCCGGATCTCTCTTGGGTTGGGGACCACCAGGAGGTTCTTTTTCCCAGATCGTAATGCTCTTCCCAGGACATATGGAGAGAGGTGGTCCCGAAGATATGTCCCCTGAAGTGCTAGTCTTCTATAAGCAAGCACTTTATTTTCATTACAAGGAGCACTGAGACATACTCTCTCTCTCACCTGCAGACTGAAATGGGACAGCCTAGCAAGGACTGTGGCCGTCCTGGTCACCTGACTATGTTCATCAGGTGATGTCACACTGTAACGGGACTATCTGTAGGAACATTCTTCAGCTTGTACTGGATGGGGCTTGAGCAGGACATCACTCACACACGAGAATCTGCTTTGGCTACCGGTGTGGCTTTGAATTCCCAAGAGAGAAGGGCCCCTAGGCCCAAAGGATGGTCCGTGCCACTTGAGATCTTTTGATGCTGTAACACAGTGGGAAGTAGCATCGGGCGGGGGGGGGGGTGTCAGCACTCTGAGTGGTGCTCTGGAGCCCTTTCCTCATGGCCAGCTTCAGCAGTGCAAGGGGGTTGTGGAAGAGCAGCACTGGGACTTGGCCACAAGCCATTTTGCAGATAGGACAACATCTGGATTCCTTCCTTTTGTCAAGGTAGCCCTCTGGCACAGTTAGTCGCTGACCAGGGCGCATCAGTCACAGTCTGGTGAGGATAAAGCATTGTGTTTTTCCACGGCCATCATCCCAGTGACTTTCAGAAACTGACAGTGCAATCCTTTGCCCAATTCCTCCAACTGAAATCAGATCTGGGCTTAGACTAGCGTTAATGCTGGTACAGTTGCTCTGTGAGCATTCTTATGAAAGCATGCTCTTTCCTGGAAAAAAGCAGCTGTTTCCTGGTTGTACTGTGTTAATGCTGTCATGTCTGCAAACCTTGATAATTCTCCAATTTAAGAAGTGGAGGCCCAGACCCTTCCTCCTGCTGGTTTTCTTTTTGAACTCCTGTAGAGGGACAGACCGTGAATGGTAGGTACCTGTGCCTTTGGGCCTTGATGAATGGGTTAGAGTTTCTGTTGCACTTCCAGTGTTTCCAAGTAGCATCTGGTTGTGATCTGTACAACAGCCCCATAAGGTAGATCCACCTGACGACATCCCCATGTTGCATCTATGGTCTCTGATAGGCATCCTTAAGGCCATCTAAGCTGTGTTCCTGGCAAAGGTGAGATTTGAACTGGGAGATCTTGGATCTGGTTCGATTCCCTGTGCCTCTTTAGCTGCACCATCTCTTGTAACAGAACCAAGTGAAAGACTCTGTACCAAAAGAGAATTCACTGAAATTCCAAATACTGGAGTTCTTCTGCAAGGATCCTGAGCCTGCACAGTTCATCATTCCTGTTCTGGCGAGCCTGGACATCCCTTTCAATATTTCCGACTCAGTTGTTTGATGACTCCCCCTGCAGATGTTCCCCTTAATTACTGGAGGTTATTCTCCAGAGATAACTTGTTCCTGGAGAAACTGACCAATTATCTTCCTTTTGCCAGTTGGTTCTGTATTGTTCTACCACTGCAGTTTTTGTGCTGCAGGAGAAGCAGTTATTCTCTGCAGTGTGTCTGTAGCATTGGAGTTCAGTGACGGCAGCCCAAACGTACAACTATGGTTTGGTTCATACATGCACAGTGATGACTCAGCACTTGGCAACAACTCATGACTGAATGTGTGAACTGACTCTGTCAAAAAGTATTATGTTGGAGCTGAGCATGAATGCACCATCTGTGACATTAGGTCTCTGATGGTCTGTTGATGTGCGCAAACCCTTGCTTGACGCTTGCAGCTATTCTGGGGGTCGTGGGTGAGGGAACCAGTTCAGAAAGGCTGCAGTGTTGCAGATTGGGAATGGCATCTTTGCACTTTGGGAATGGCATCTAAAACAATCTCTATAGGGATAGGACAACTTGAGCCATCTTTCCTTAGAAGCAGTACTATTTAACTATGCCTGGTTGGCATCAAGGAGGTTTGGGGATTTTGCATTAAATGCTATTATGGCAGCGAGACTGGGGTTTTTTGTGTGATATTGTGGAGGGGGCAAAATGGGCTTCACAGAAACAGGAGGACTAAAGGATCAATAGAAATGGAATAAGACAAGTCAGTATTTCTGAACATTACAAAAAATCTAAACAAGATAGATGAGTTTGGCGTTCTGAGCTGGAAATATATGTCATTAGAAGTGGGTACATTGATGTATGAAAAACATAAGGAAAGGGGAAGTTACAAAATGGAGTGTTGGTGTGTGGGAACATATAGAATTTTATAATATAAAAATAAAAGAGAAATTGTTTTATATACTTAAAGGAAGAGACGTACTTGAGATTCAAAAGGGGAGTTCAGAAAGATCTTTCGGGAATCTACTGGAGGTAGAGAAAGAAGGTGTTAGTGTTTTCTGGGTCTTCAGGCATTTTCTCTAGTTTTTCCTTTGGTGTGATGTCATTCACCTTTGGAGGGCAGGAGGGGCCGCGCTTCAGTGGTCCAGCATCTGCTTGGCATGCAAAAGGTCATAAGTTCAATCCCTGGCCTCTCCAATTAAAAGATCTAGTGGTACATGATGTGAAGGACCTCTGCCTGAGACCCTGGAGCAGTGGCAGACCTTCATTTTGGGGACCCTTCTCAATCAGCCATGATAGGGCAACATCCAACAAGGTCCAAAGGGCCTTGCTGCCCTTGCAAGGACCTCGAGGCCCAAACGGTGGAGAACCATCCATCATCAATGATCAGGAAAAAAAGTATTGCTTCATTCTCTACTAGAGACATAGAAGGTCGTCAGAGGGGTGGGGCTCGTTAGGATAAAGAGATTAAAATGCACAAGTGAGAGCACAATCACACGCACAATTAGCCGCGCCATGGGCACGAATGCCGGGCAGATTTAAAGGGCGTGATCAGACACGAACATCTGGGAAGGGCCTGCACCCGTCAGCGACCCATTTTGCTCTGCCACAGAAGCAGAGTAAAAAGACACCAGGGAACGTCTGGTAGCAAACAGGTTGCTACGGGCCATGGATGGACTTTCCCCTGTCTAATCGCTGCAGTGTGCTCTCACGGGATGGTCTGATCAGGCCATCCCAACTCCATGCCATTGTTTCCCCCCCCCCTTCTCAGTATGTGCATCATCGCGCACTCCATAGGGAGCCCTCAGTGCGGAGATACAATTCATTGATTCCCCGTTCAAGCACATTAGGAACAAACGGCAAAAAACACAAAACCCGACTCACCCGCTGTTGCGTCTGATCACGCAGTGGGAGGCTGCCCCCGCAGCTTTAAAGGACTGTGTGATCGCACAACTGCGGGTCAAATTCCTCCCGGGGAAATAACCCCGCTTCCCACACACACACGTTATCTTGCGTGTATGACCACCACCTGAGACTAGTGCAGCCTGAATTGAGAATTCAGATGTCTTTTTATGGTTCTGATTGGCTAAGGGCTGAGCTGTAGAAGTACTAAGCCATGCACCAACGAAGGATTCGAGGATCCATCTACCAAAATGTAGGCTATGAATAGATTCTGGTGAGCTTGGCGACCCCATTCAGCTGGGCATTTGGGTGCTGCAAGCCCCCGAGAAAATGTTGAAACTTGGCCAATTACAGGGACATTTTGAGGCCATATGAAATGAGTATTAGAGCATATTCTAAGGTCAATATTAAGTACTTAAACCCATTGGCTTATGATTCTGGCACTAAAATAGCCTTATTTTAATAACAAGCACTTTAAAAAACTCCATCAATTTTGTTGAAAAATTCACTTAGTTATATTAAAAAAAAGTTGCTTCAGGGCCCCTCCAAGATTAGGGGCCCTGAAGCTTAGGCTTCATTAGTTTCATAGCAGATCTGCCCCTGCCCTGGAGAGCTACTGCCAGTCTGAGTAAACAGTACTGATTGTGATAGACCAAAGGTCCGATTCTGTATAGAGCAGTTTCATAGCACGGAAGATCTGCCCATGCAAGAGAGGAAGCCCAGGAGAAATATGGGGGTGAAAGAACAAGAGGAAGGGGAGTGGCAGGGCCTGCTTCTTCCCTCTCCATCCTGCCGTTCTGTCTCCATTTTGGTGAAAAAAGGCAAATTCAGTCTTGGGTTGTATTAAAAGGGCCATAGCATTGAAATCGCAGGCAGTCATAGCCCC